CGTTGTTTCGTTTCTCGAAAAACGTCTCGGTGTCGCGAAAGAATTCGAGGCGTGCTAGAAACGTGTTCGCCCAGCTCTCGAAAGAGCGGGCGTACACACACGCGCGCGTAAACTGTACGTAGAAGTATGATTAAGGAAACAAAGGAAACGAACGAGGCGGGATGTAAGCAAACGCGTGTGCGAGAGAAGAGACATTTCCGCGAAAGGGTGGACGTATGCATAAATGAGCGACACGCCCGCGACAAGATATATACAAATATTTTCGGAAGTATTTTGCGACGGAAACGGCGGGGAGTCTGCGTTACTTGTGAGGGCTCGCTCAGATTATCGACCTTTCCTCGAGTCAATGTTTGGCCGAGGGCTGTCCTGCTAAAAGACGCCGTGCTACGCCGAGTGCGATGTCACTTACACAGGCTGGATAAAGTAACGTTCCGCTACGCGGTGGATACCTGGCTCTAGACATCAAAGATTTATATTCTGCTCTAAAATATTAGTAACCCGTAATGGTTCGGAGCTAACCGTGTCCGATTATTAATCATAATCGTGGATTACATTTTGCCCGACGCCTCTAACAGACCTCCAAGATTCTCGTCCGACGGAAAATCGATGAACCGAGCGAGCCCTAAACCTCCGCCTTCGAGAGCCCCGATTCAATTTCTCCTCCTTTTCAAGTTCCTCCAAGAATGTAAGCGCGGGCACACCCGACTCGTGCTTTACCGCGTTCGAAAGTTTTTCGAAAATGAGGAGAAACCGCGTCGGGACTCTGATCTCTTACCGGTCCACGCGGACGTCACCGCCGTTCCCGTCGTCTTGTGATCGTTTTAACTCTAACCCAGAGTTGGGCAGAATTTCGATCGAATAATGGATGACGAACGGAAACGATTCATTCGCAACGGAACACTCTAGCGAACAGTTGCTCGGAGAACCTTCTACCGGGATTAAGAGTTGCTCGTATCTTTTATTCGTCGTTCGAGATTTCTGATCTGGATGACAATTTTGCCCATCTCTGCTCTAACTATCGCGTTTTACCTCGTTGACGCGTATTATTCGCTCATTGTTATCCGCGCGAGCCGCGCGAGGGTCCTACGACGTTTCTCGCCGGTCATCGCGTGAAACTGCAGAGTATATAAAGAGACGTTACGGAAAGACAGTGCAGTTTTCTTTTCGCGCCCGTTCGTGTCCATTCCTGCTGCCCTTTAGGTTCAATTAGGTGGTGCAGAGGTGGTAGAACTATTACAGAGCGTGTGGTAAAGTTTATTCGACTAGGACCGAAGAAGCAGAAGAACGCTGGTAGCAAAATAAGGCGGTTCCCTTATGAGAGGTTCCCTTCGATCGTAGGATATCCCTGGAACGATATAACGAGGATCCTTGCATATACCTGGAGAAGATAGCCGAAGCGTGGCAAGACGAACCGTTGGCGGATGGGTGAATTTGTAACGCGGCCAAAGGACGAAAGGTATGCGCGGGGATTGCACTTGACAATGGCGTTGCCCGGCGGAATGCCGCAGGAAAAGAAGGTTCCCGGGCCGGATAGACTGGAACGGAGAAACGAGCTGGCGAACTTAGCAGTGACATTAAAAGCAGGGAGTGGACTTAACGACTCGTATCGCGCGGGTCACTGCGGCTGTCTGTGGCGATGGCTGCGGTTCTGGCTGCGGCTAGACCACATCCCCCATTTTCACTTACCGTTGCTCGCCTATTCCTCTCGTGTCTTCCTCCGGTTCGTTCCACCTTTCCCATTCCTTTCGCGTTCCTTTCCCCACACGGCGAAGAACAAAGCGAGGCGGTCGCGATATCCGAAATTTCAACGACCGCTAGTTTAGTCAACGCGAAAGAATAAACAACGCGTAGCCACGGTGCTCGCGTTTAACGGGCTATCGTTTATCATTCCGCGGAAGGCTCGTGCAGCTTTTGGGTCGACGCCACGGCAGCTGTTCCCGTCGAGAATACCATCGTTCCGCAACAAATTTTCTTTTCACACTTGTCCCGCGGCGTTTGCCCTCTCGCCGCGTTTCTTGAGAAACGACTCGCCTCCCTTCGCGACGGGAAAATATGGCGTAACGCGGACCAATTAGTTCGGGCTACCGTTCGGAAAGTTTTATTGTACGCAATTTTAATAATAATTTATTCAAAATGATCTCGAGCGCTGGAAAAAAAATTCTTGTAAAACGATTAAAAAGTTTGGTCTTAACCTGCCCGCTATTTTTCTTCTCGGGCTTTAAACCATCTTGTTTAGTTTCTTTCTCCGTGGCACTTCTCATTATTTTCGTGTTCTCGCGTTTCTCGCTATGTAAGTTTCAATTCCTTCAGTCTTTTAATGATCTCTGTTTATAGGTACATGAAAATTTAAGTAAACCAGCTCTGTTTCGCGCGTGACTATGTATATATATATATGCAGAGCAGGTGAAAGAACATATCGCGAATCCTAGAGGATGTATCGCGCGTCGCGAAACTTTCTGATCGTTCATTGATCGTTCACCGCGATCCATTTTATACCCGGTCGACTCTTTGATATTCCGTTGCCGTCTATCGCCGTCTGCGTTATCTATAGGCACGGGTCGGCAATCCCGTCGGAACGTATGCAAATTTGAGCAACGGCCCGTGAATTCCATATCGTCGAGTGGAAAATAAAACGACGAGAAAACGACGACAAACAGCGCGCGAAACAAGGCCGTGGTTCCACTTTTGTAATGTAGAACATGATTAAGACGGCTTTTCGGCGCTAGCGGTGCTTTCTCGAAATCGACCCTTTTCCGTTTCGCGTGAGCGGAGCCACCGCCGTATAATTTCAATTTTTCTTGTTTTTTATTCGGTAACTTTAGTCGCCGCGTTAACAAAGAAAAACGGGATTTTTGGTCAAATTCAGGATTCACTGGTTGCTCAGATATGAATATGATTTGAAGTTTATGTGTACCTTTGAAAATTCCGTAATTCGTGGTTCCTTGTCAGTAGCCCTCGCCTGATTTGTGAGGGAGCCAGAGGCTTTACACGAGAAGGACCAGTCACTGTCATTCCTACAGGCACTATTAACTCCTTCAAGAACAGCCGATTCTATTCTAATTCTATTCTACTCTTCCCAACCATCTTCGTTATCAGTCCCAAACAGACTCACTTTAATTTCTGAATCTAAGAATAGAATATGATAAATTACGTTATACTTCCTTCGGAATTTTATCTGGATACGAATTTTCCCCTGTCTGGGTTCGGTTTGGTTCATAACGTCTCCGTCCTTTCTCTTGTCAGACGTTGGATTAAACGAAGAGTGAGCTACGTCTGGGTGCTCGTGAGAAGACGAATGATCTGAGAAAGCCATGGGCGGTGGAAAAAGACTACTCTCCAAGGATGAGACATCGTTGCATCGTGACGAAGATACTAACGATATTCTTCGTCCGCGGGGACGACGCAATTTTTGGCACGACTATGTGTGCACGCGTTGCTCGGATCGGATATTCGATCGATCGAAGCGACCGCGACGGCATGGTTGGGCAGCGAGGAGGTTTCGGCAGGGACGCGCCGGAACGAATAAGTGGCGATGGAAACGAGCAGAAAGGGTTGCGGAAAGTCGAGGACGAAATCGTCGTCGAGAATATGAAAAATGCACCGTTAGCACCCGTCCTCCAACCGATCGGCAGGAAATTGAAATCGTGACGCGTCTCCGCCGAACGATTCCGTACGCGTAATTTCTTCTCGATCGGATCAACGAGAATCGTCCATGGCTGGAGAACGTGATAAAATCGATGAACCGTTTTGCTTGCCCCCCCCCCCCCCCCCCCCCCCCCCCCCCCCCCGCCCCCCGGGCTCGATCTCGCGAATCGCTGGCAGATGACTAACAATTTTGGAAAGAATAATCGTTCTACCATCTTCTCGTTCGAAATGAATGTTACCGGGCAACCGAAGGAAATAAATTGCCGAAGGAATAATTAAATTAACTTTCCAAGTGGCTTGGAGTGTCTCGAACAATTTGTCGACCAACACCAGATTTTACTGGGCTCAGATGATCTGATATAAAAGGTAACGTTTGCCCTCTATCAAGGTCGTGAATAATACATCGAAGAGTCAGCAGGCTCTATGTTTCATTTCACCCTAATAAATAAGCCATCTATCGCATAACCTTCGCGATAGAACCACGCGGAACCTTTCCTTTGAAGAGACTTGGTACAGTAATCGGAAAATGTATTTCGCCTCCTTTCTCTTTTGTCTCTCCGCGGAGCGGGATCGTCGAGAGGAAAAATTTATCTTCGCGTTAACGTCACGATCCGAAATCGGTGGGAAAAGGAGAAACAGACAAAGGAACGCGAGAACGGTGAACTGAAAGTGGGCAAGATTTTCTTCGCGATGAGGGAATCGAGTTTCGGGGGTAAGATTCTAGGAGGTACCGATTCGCGCTGACTCCGTAGCGCAGAAGCAGCGCCAGTCGTTCACCAGCACCCTAACCATTTTTCTTCGTCTCTCAGGTTGGAGCGAGTTCGAGAATGTCGGCAGCGCCATCCTTGCTGTCGACGCTACCCCCTATACGGGGTGTCTCGCTTATCCACCCGAAATCCCGAAATTTTATCGAGCAACGTTCCTCAAATCCTTTTGTTCGTCTCGAGGGAGAAGTTCATCCATCAAAGATTTCAAATATGAATTAATGGTTTCCTCGGAAACCCGCAAACGAGCCATTTTTTATTCGATTAAAATCAACGCTGGTCGAGATCCCTTCATTTATAAACGGAGGAGAGATAACTGACGTGGTCGATCAAATATGCGAGCAATCTTCCCAACCCTGATTTAGAAGATGTATTAATTTTCATTTGATAGAGCACTCGTTCGCTTTGATACTTGGACGCGTTGTTTCTAACGCCTTGTATAAATATTTATAAAAAATTGGTATCGCGTGGACTATAATTAACTGTTTTCGAAGTTCTTATCCGTCGATGCGTACCAAACATTTCAGTATCGAAATTATTACAATCGTCGGACGACACGGCAAACGGATGCATCTTTCAAAGTAACGGCTTCTAGGAACAGATATCGTAATATGCAGAACGAAAAGCTGCATCGATTAATACATTAAAGAGTATATAGTACGATTAAAAAACTTGATCTTCGTATCTCCGCTACACCTGCGGCTGCAAAAACACTATTGACAACAGATTATCTTCCCCTCGAAGCCATTCATCTTTCGTTTCAAATATATTTCAATATTGATCGATCGATGGTATTCTTATTACGCAAACAAAGAAAGCGTACACGCGATACAGAGTGTTCCAAAAGTCTATCTATATGCGGCGATGTTTGTACAAAAGGGATGATATTTACTTTGTCCTTATTTGCTTCGAATTTTATGGTACGTCTTTGAATTTTCATTTTCATTTTCCGACTCCGCTGGCAGGAGTCGTGCGTTTTCCGACGAGGAGATCGGTAGATAATCGCACGAAAGTTGAGATTAAAACTGATCCCACGGGTATAATTGTTACATTATTCAAATATATAATGAAAAATGTAAAGTAGCGAGAAAAAAAAAACTGCCCAGACTGCAACGACGGAGCGTTTGAATACCTGCTGAAATAAAGTAATGCCCTGACATAAAATATGAAGTATCTCGTAAAGCAGTAGCGTACTCAGAGAAAGGAGGGAACGAACGTCGCCAAGCAACTGCGCCCTTCTGCCTCAGATATCCATTTTTTAACCATTGAACATTCCTTCTTTTTTATATGTAAGTGTAAAAGTTACCCGACGTCATCAGACGGGAAAGGTTTCAAGCTGCCAATCTTCGGGACCAGTCTTCAGGGGATTCGGTAACGATGAAAAATGTACCTAAAACGGAGCGTCGTCGTTTGTTTCGCCGGTAAAAAGCTCGAGAGCTAAGTTTCACATTTTCATCTCAAATCTGATTAGATTTTTCAGCAAAATCGTCGCCATGAATAACGACGTCTACCTTTTCGTAGACGCGCCTTTCTTTTCCTTCCAATTTAATTGGCACAAGCATCTCGTTTTCAGTTCCTTTGTATCATACCTTTGAATTAATTATATTCCATTTGGTTATATTTTATTCCGCCTACTCCCAATCGCCTCTGTTTATGTTTCGATAACAGTCAAAACGCGTAATGTGTTCCGGTAACGCGATCTCATTAATCTCGCTTATCGTCCCACCTTGCCCGATAGAATCATCCCCTAAAATGTTTGCCACGCGTAGGTAAACAACCCGTGTAAAAATAAATATTGATTTTAAACAACGCTAGTCGTTTCGAAGATATCCCCGTGGATTTAACCGGGACACCCCGTATACATAGTTCTCCCGCTTCGCTCGTATTCGACGGACCACCCAACGAAGGGGTCGCCGTCGGTGCTCTTCTTCCTCTCGTTCGCCAGTACCGCCGGGCGTTTCGACGCGGTAACACGTTGCCGTCCAGGTCGTGGGAAAACGGTCGACGCACGCAGTTCCGCCTATATTTCACGCTGTTCCCTCCAACGCCACTTATCACGAAATCTCTCCCTCGATCTCTCCGCTTCCAAACCTTTCGATCTCTCCCGTTCCATCGTCCACTTCCGACTTTTCTGTCATACTTTGCGTCGAAACTTCTCCGCCGTCACCCTACGCGCCAGTCCTTCCGCCTTTTCTAACGCGTCGCTCCTTCCCAAAAATAGGGGAGACCCGCCCACGCGCGGAACCGCGAAACTGATCATCGGTTCTCGTTACCATCCGTCGACCCTTCCGGTTCCGTTGTCCGTTCTCCATTACAGCCGACCGTACGCGTCGAATGGCCGAGGATACCATCGTGTCCAGGTGATGAGGTGCCGTGTCGCGTGTCGTGTCGTTTCGTGCGCTATATACACGATCTCGTTCCGTCCTGTTTCGCGTACACTGCGTCCTATTCCGTCCTACCGCGCCCTAACCCGTTCGACAAAGGCGCGGCGCTGCACAGGACCACGCGACGCGTTACCACGAACCCGCCTAATACATTCTAGGTCAGTCGCTCTATGTTCAAACACGCCGATACGTTATTCAAATGCTCCGGCAGACCTGACTTTTTTCCTGCGCTTTCAGCGAGCCTTCGGGGAATAGTTCTCAAAGTATTTTTAAAGTAACCGCTAGGGTGGCTCTACCTCTATCGCACCCTCCGACCGACGTAAGAAGTCAATCTTGTAAAAGTAGTTATTACCGAAAGTTAAGGTAAGACGATTTTCTATAAAAATGGCCCGCTTTATTTTTTTTCGTATAGGTTCTCTCGCTCGCTGAAAATTCATTTCGTTTCGTTTCCTCCTTTTACGCGTACGATTCCATTTAATTAATTGTTGTCGAAAGGGCTCAAGCGTTAATGGTAATAAATATGTAATTAAAAGCGAATAAACGGTGTATCTAGAGCACTCATGAATATTGAAATTTCTGGTTTGGAATATGAATTTCAGGAAAGAAGATTAAAGTTTGAAGTTGAAAGTTGCGTTCAAAGTTTTCACTCCATGCTACGAAGCGAACTATTAATCGCGTAAGACGAGTCTATTATGCTTCGTTCTGTAATCACTTTTAAACAGTTTCGACCATTAATTATAACTATTTTTGCGGTAAGCGCGAAAGTTTCTTTTTTTTTTTTTGTTTGTTTAGATAATCAGAAAAAATTGATTTCTTTCATCCGTTTCGAGGGTGCGAACAAGTGTTGTTAAAGCGATAATTGTCGAGTCATTTATCCATTATTTGTAAAGTGAATGAAAGTCGGTGCGAAAAGCGAGGTTCACAAAAAGATTTTCACAATTAAATCCGAAGCGACTGAACCACTGTTCTGCGGCTGACAAGTTGAACTATGAAGGGGATTGTGGACGGTACTGGGTCAGACACTTTATTCAGCCTTTGAAGGCTCGCGATTAACGAGGGATCATCGCGAACCACCAGATTTTAATGAAATTCTGCGCAAATTTTCATTGCTCCAATCCAGGAACGCTACTCACTGATCTTTGAGGGAAAACCCACCACCCTGCATAAATCCACCATTTTAATTATTCTAAATAATAATCTTACGAGAGATATCGAAACAAATCTTCAATTTAAATCTCGAGTTGAATATAAATAGATCGCGTAAAAGAAAAAGCTCGTTTCACTCTTTCGTACAGAATTTAGGAGACAGCTGCGCTCCTCCCCCACACCTTCGCCACGTTTCATTGAAATCGGTGGTAACAAAGTAAGCGGAAAGAATTCATCGCTAAGACTCTTCCGGAAGGCAAATCGTTGATAGATGCTTGTGCCAACTCGATCGCAAAATATTGAAACAAACGTTCGCTTTCGGATTGATCTAAGAACGTAAAGAGAAATGCGGCGGAAGCAGAGGCTGGAGGATAGATAGATAGCGAGACAGAATTGACGGAAGGGAAGTTTAACGCGCGGTATTGTGCGATGGGTGTGCCGCGTGTAGAAACGCGGAGGATGATTTCGCGAGGGGTCGGCGATCGAACCGTCCCGCCTCGATCTTCGAATCGATCTCCTCAGGGATCAGCTACCGTTCCGTCGACGATCAGGCGATCGAGGACACCGAGTTCGACCCGCGCCTTCCTCCGAGGACGCTCGATGCTTTGGATTGTATTCGCGATTCAGCTGATCGGAGCACCGGCGAATTCTGACAAGAGTAAGTATTCCTTCGCATTTTCCATTCCCACGTTTACCTTTGCAGGTATTCCAAGCATCGTTGAAAGCCACTTCACGGCGAGATTCCTCGAATCAAAGATCAAGGAATACGCGAGCAATTTTCAGACTCGCGAAACATCGCTTTTCGAGTCCTCCTGCTTCTTGCCCTTCGTTCGAAAAAGAAGCAACCCCGTTCGTCCGCCACAACCCGCCCCTTTCTACTCTATTTATCTTAAAGAAGTCTGTTTCGATGGTGAATCATTTCCGCTTTTCGCCACGATCGATCGCGTCTTAGGCAGGGGCAGTATTAAAACAGTGAACGATATACGTTCTTCGTTAAAAGTTCTCGAAAATTGGGGTATTATTTGGTCAGGTCAATCTCGTAACACCTTACTGGCCAGTAACTATTGGACACGTGTGCCCATAATTATGAAAGTGGTCTAAGTTATATATTTCTTGGAAAAAAAGATTGAATTAATTTAGTTTGAAATTGGCTTAGACCACTTTCATAATTATGGGCTGATATAATTAAATTTTGTAATTCGTAACAAAGTATTGATTGGCATAGTAGAGAACCGATTAATTACCGATCAGTGAAGCTTTAACCGACAATGATTCATCTCGAGACGTCTACACCCTCAACAAAAGTTTTATCGAAGCTATTCTCAACTGCTATACACACCTATCTCGTGTGTCGACTACTAAAAAGGGTCGGTATTGCCAGGGCTGATCTCGAATTACTGTTTCATATTTGGTGAACCAACCCTCGTTGAAAATCGAGGAAAAGATGCCGGCGTTGATGAAACAGGAAGGCGAACGGTTCTCGAAGAATCGTTTTACAGTTTTCACGGCATCGGTTCTCCTCGATGCTTGTATCGCACGCGTGTCACGTAGCCGTCCGTGTCTGTTACCCTCGTCCTTAACTTTCCAAAAGCGATCCGCGATTCTGGAACAGTTCTTCGCCGTGTCGGCTGCAAATAGGTTTTCGTCGTTCGCGGGTGATCGTTCGGCCGCTTCAACGCTGCTCGACGCGGTCGGAATAAAAAAGAAAAAAAAAAAAAAAAAAAAAAGACACGGAAACGAGAAAAACTTGATTTGCCATCTCCCGGCCAGCTCGACGGGAGTTTCGAACTTGAAGGGAGCCGTCCTCCGCGTCGATGGCTGTATCCTCGAGAATGGAGACAACGAGCTTAAAGAAACTTTCGTACCGCGTACCTGAGCTCGCTGAACTCGCCGCGAGTAACGTTTCGGGCCGGGTTTTTTCCCCGCTAACGTAAGTAGTTTTTACTCGGGAAAGTTGTCGTCGGTAAACGACGTGGCGTCGTTTTCTGGTAACGAGGCAGAAAAGTTGTCGATCTGACCGAAAGGGTCACTCGACACCATAGCTCGGCTCGTAAAATATGAAGCTTTGCTGGGAAACCGGGATGAAACATTTTTTAATCGTCCCGTTCGATTAATTTCGCATTGTCGATGAAATCGTCGGCTCGATCGAACGCTGATAGAACAATGCGCGCGGGATTCAACTTTTGCCTGGGTCAATTTTCGTGTCATTGTTTAGGAGGGAACTAAAGAAGCTTAAACGAGGGGTTGTTCCAGTTACCGAAATCACCCGGTAGATTCGTTTTCCGCAGGACCGCAACAACCAACCGCGTTTCGGGTGGAACGAGATTGGGCTTAATGAAACGAGGGTGAGCAGGGGGCCGAATGTAGCGCGGACAAAAGGGAAATGCGAGGAAAGAATGGAAGAGACGAAAAAAAAAAAAACGAGAATTTTATACGCGGACAGTGCTCGGTGTGAGTCAAGTGACGAGAAGGAGAAACAAAGGGCGAGCGACGGGAACTAAAAGAAATGAGCGATTGCAATTCCGAAGGGTCGGAAGCCAGTCTTCCGAGCACAATTAACCTTCGCCACTTGCTCGCTAATGGTTTACAAACAAACGACGACGGCGACGACATCAACGAAACGACAGGCCAACGTTTTATCGTTTATTTGCAAACGGGATCGTTCCATCTCCCAGAGGCGGACTCGCGAGTCTTTTCTTTGGCGCGGGTAAAATGTACAAACTTTTGAAGTTATTTTACGTTCGGGCTTGCTCCGCATAGAATGTATTTTATTAGAAAGCCTTGGGCCTGCTGGGCAATCAACACTCTCCGTAAAAAAAACAAATTCTAAAATACAAAAAAAAGCTACACGACGCCGACGGTTTCCGTCTCTAATTTGCGCTCAAAGCATATCCAGCAAGTTTCTTTCTGCCAGTATATAAGCACCAACTGAGACATTTCTAATTAAAGCAAACTAAAATGCTATCCGAATTAAACAAAATTAATAAGAAAACGTCCAGGAAAATATCTTCGCTCGAATCATCTTGAGTGGCTATAATTGCTGAAAATAAATATACAAATTTTCTGCGAAGACGACGGAACTCGGTTTCGATCAAAGACAACGTTATTTAATTATTTTCTGTGATTCTAAGCGTAAAACGAAATTGTTCGAACCTTCTATTGCTGGTAGAAAATTCCCTGGAGAGGAAGTGCGACAATCGTAGCTCGTTCCAACGGAAAGAAACTTCAAACGCGAAAAATCGGGACTTTCCTCGCGTTCTTTGCCTTCCAAAACAATCGAGATTTCGACGCGTTCGATTTGCAATTCGGAGGACGCGAAAGTTTAAGCGGATCGAGGCGTGGGAAATTTTCCAACGAACTTCCGCTGTATCGCGCAGTTGGGATAAGGAAAATTGATGAATCGAATAGAAAAATCGCGAATAATACGGCGAGAAAAACCGATTTAGCGTCCCGATGGCTGCGCGATACGGCCTATGGAAACAAGGACGATCTCGATAGCTGTTGCAAATTTACATAACCCGACCCATACATTTGCTTATTTTGAGTTTTCGTACATTGGAGTTTTCGAGCCAGCGTGCGTCGCGCCCTTTATAAATGCCTATCATTCTTCTCGCTTTTCTTGTCCCGCGCCGTGACTGTGGTTTTCATTTCACGCGCATGGAAATCCGTTTTCCGTTATAGTGTTGCTTTTTTATTCTCCTATTTTGGACACCTGACGCGATAGAACCCTGAAACTTATATCGAAACGAGAAATATTGTATCGGATATTTTTCGATTTCATCTAGGTAGCTAACGGAAATAGGGATACAGATATTTGAGGTAAATATTTTTCTACGGGGCACTTGTTCCTTCGAGCTGTTGTTTGAGTTTCATTTCTCCTAAAATAAACTTCTTTCGATTGTTCCGAGGTTCGTCGTACACGTGTAGTAAGTTCGTCATTTATTTGGGTGGGAGCTGTGAGGTAATTACAGTTTAGACTGTGATATCTCGCGTGAATGATAAAACCGGAAAACGGAAAAGTTGAACTTTAAGAAATTGTCACAATATTAACTTTGACCTAATTTTTCGCTTCAAGTTGATGGAGTTATCGCCGGTTAAAAAGTGTAAAGTCGAAACACACAGAAGAAAAAAATTAAAAGTGAAAATCCTCTTGAAATAAGGGGTACTTAGAAAAAATGTCTAAGAAGAACTTTTCGTTGGAAATTAATTGTAGAATACGTCCAGTCTCATGGATCTACATTTCTACCATCAAAGAATACTTTTATTCCTTTCGTTATCTTACTATCGTGTAATATTCCTGTATCTATATCTACAAGGTTTCAAGGATCGAACATCCCTCAGTGGAAATGGGTTTTGAAGTGCGAAGCGGAGCGTAAGTGGAAACGGAGAAGGGTTCATCGACGTTCGACTGTTACTTAATTAGTCTCGGGTGTGACTGTCCGTGTCTGGACAGTAGGTCATTGATACGAGATCTGTCCGCTTCCGACTCGGAAGTTGGAAGGCGTTGAACAGGGTATGGTACACCGTTGGCACCGTCTCCCGTTATTAAGACGTAATAGCGTATACAACGACTCCTTTTTTGGCAATGAATCAAACTTGTGCCGCGCATTGCCGCAAGGGCCGATAACTCGCTTTTTCCGCCGTCCTTTTGTTCCCGATGCGAAACTCCCCGCGACTCTCATTTATCAGCGACCGCTATTGCAATCTACGTACTCTGCCAAATTAAGATTTTGCGGGTACCTGAGTTGCAGGCACCGCGGGGAACGACATCTCCAGAAGCGTTAAATTGGATGCACTGATAATTATCGCGAGTTTTTCTTGTGTAATCTAATGACTATCGATGCGACGGGTTTCTATAACGATTTCTACCTTCGTCAAAATTAAATTTCCTTTCATCTATTCGTTAAGAGCGAGAAGGCATGTCTCCAAACATTCAAAATTAATCTCTGGAGGCCCTCCAGCTGCCCAAAGCCTCCCGTCCGTGATCTATAAACCCTTAATGCCCCCGTATCGCAAACGTTTCGCAGTATTTTGCGCCACTTGTCGTTGCTTTCGCGCGCGTCACGGTATTTTGTGTCATTCCGCGGCGTTTTGGGACACCCGAAGCGGCAATTAGCCGCCAATTCGAAAATCGAATTGCATCTGTACCGCGCCGTTCAATCAGCCGGCCTATAATTGAAGGTCTACCACGGATAACGTTTAATTGGAGACTGCCAGCTATTTCCACGCTTTGTCGTGTTCCACCGCAACCCTCTATAAGTACCTCGTGTTCCTCGTGCATTCCTCCAAGCCGTTCCTCGTGTTTGTCGTTCGGACGTCTAACCGGGAACGCTGGTTGCGTTTCTATGCCCGGATAAAATCGAGTCAGGTTGGGTTCGGATCGTTTCGAGTAATCCCAAACGACACAGCCTCCCCTTTAGGACGGCGGGCGTCTATGCATCCACCGTGTAATTTAGGGCAGATTTGCCTAATGGGTAGCAGTCGGCTAAATTGAATCTCCTTTGTTTCTATATTAATAACGATTACATCCACGAATACGTTAAATAATATAATGACAAGAACGGCTAATTGCGTGTCATTTCTTTAAATATCACGCTTCCGATGATACGTTCCTATTTAAAAACGTGTAACAATGCTTCAAAGTTCCAGCTACGATACTCGATATTCGCAAATTAGGACTAAACAGTGAATACAGGCTAGAATATCGCGAGCAATTTTCGCGGCTCATTGCTAATTACGCGCGTACACATGGTAACGATCGACAAGATAGCGCGGAATAGCAAGTTTCCGTGAACGGATCGGCGAACAGACGTATGCAAATGGGGACCGTTTGTTGAATCGCGGATGTTCGTCCGGGGTTGTTGGATGACTGGATGGTTGAATGGCTGCTTTGCCGAACGGTTGAATTCCATGGCCGAGCAAGCGGACCATCGATTTCGGAAGACACCGTTAACAAGGCGCCTTTACCCAAGGTTCGAACCGTCGGAGACCGTTGGTAAACTGGCCAACGATTTCGGTGGTTTCGGTAAGCGTGACTGCTCCAACTTTGCTCCATTTCTGTTTCTCTAAATTAACGTCACGGTAACTTTAATCGTTGCCAAACCGATTGACCGTTACGCCGGTGTTTCCCTGGTTTCTATTCTCTTCTCTTCTATTCTCTTCCTTCCAAGCGTGTCTTGCACCACTGCTTTCCTCTTGCGAAAACGTTATCGAATTCAGAGATTGGTCAACGGTCTCTTCTAAACGCAAATTTCGACTGGACGAGATCTGTAAAAAAAAATAAAATAAATATTAATCGTAGAATTTAGTGTCTTACGCTAGACAACTGAACTCGTACGCGTTGACTTGGTCTAAAATTTAGCTGATCCTCGAGTTCTGGTCGCCGGAGTTGTGGGAAGATAAACAGTGGCGGGATCATTCCTGGTCTCGAATCCCTAACACAAATTCCAAGTGGAGGTAAGGAGTTACTGTAAGTCGATACGCAGGCCGAAACATCCGTAATCTGTTTCAGCCGGGGACATCGAGGTGGAAATCAAAGTGCCAAGCGAGGCCAAAGTGGGATCCTCGGTGGAGCTGGGATGCGAATGGCGACTGTTCGGCCGGAGCGGGCTTTACTCGGTGAAATGGTACAAGGACGATCACGAGTTCTTTCGATACGTGCCGGAGTATAATCCCAGGATACAAACGTTTCCGCAGCCAGGCGTAAACATCGACGTAAGCATTTTCCCGTTCCTTTTGTCTCTTTCGTGCCTGGGACGGATCCGCCTCATGGTTCGCGACGCGCTGAGAGAAAAAGAACGCTTCACGTCTTTGTACAATGTTCGCAGAAGAAGTGGAAAAACGAAAAATCAATCAGGCTGAGGGACCTAGGCGTGACGAGCTCGGGACAGTACAAGTGCGAAGTCTCCACTGAAGCACCGTCGTTCGCCACTACCTACCGGACGGCCAACCTGACTGTGATCGGTAAGTGTACGCTTTGCGAGCCACCATTTCGTTCCCGTTTGCTTCCCAATGTCGTTCTGAGTTAGAATTTATGGTTAAGGTTGCGGTAGATAACCGTGATAATTGTATGCATCCAAGAAATTATCGTAAGCCGTTGATGGCTCTAATCTCTGCTATACGGGCCACGGGCTTAACGACTTATCGCACGATAAGTTATACAATTATGGTTGCCACGGTTGACAATTGTAAAACGTTTAGGTTTCTTGTGTAATACTTCGTCACGGCGTTACCATAAACAGTCACTGGCGATAGGTTCTGGGTTCTGGGTAATTTTCTTTGGATAACGAAACGATCGGACTTTCATTTGGATAAGTGAATTACGACTTGAACGTGTCATTTTTATTGATCAAGTTACCGATTGAATGATGTTTGACTTTTATTCGCTCTAGACGCTTTTTATGTAAATAAGAATTCCGTCATTTTTTAGTTATACAATACATGTGACATGAACATAGAGATATTATAGATTCATTCTTATGTTAACGATAGTTGGTCATCTTTTATATTGGGTTGGAAATTCGTGCCAATTTTTAAGAAAAATTCAAAGACACATTCGAAATTTTTACATACATTTATTGAAGTAGAAATCTAGAATAGATATAGTCCAAACAACAATTACTTGTTTCTATACTTCTTATTAATTTCACACTTTAGACGAATAACTAATTTTCTTTTCTACTGTATCTACTCTAGAGGTTTCCAAGAATAGAATATCATTGTTTATAAAAAAGAAGTTTCTACACCCACCGTATATATCTTACATCCACATTAGTATAAAAACATTGATAGATAGGGTATCACTGTTTTTCTCTTTCTTTCCAAAAGGGTATGTCCGAATGAACGACGATGTCTCGCTTTACCCGAATATTCCACTTACAGCCCGGTCTATCTTTCCCCGGCTCCGTCCACGATATCTCTATGGTGACGTTGCAACTATCGTTGCAACTATCGTTGCATTTTCGTTGCGTCGAGTCATCGTTACGCCTATGGTTCGTGTTGTGCGTGAAATCAAACAAAGACCCGCGCAAACATAGTGAGCTTTATCCGTGAACCGACGAGACGATTATTATCTCGTTGATATAAATGAAAGGCGCCGATTTACGAAGTGATTGCGATACGAAATTACGACAACGGGGATTTCAATTATCGCGTGACAAATATTTCCAAGTTTTTTCGGGGCACGTGGATTAGTTCACGGGGAACACGAGACCTTGTCGTACCATTTCATCGATCGTATGCTCTTCATCGTTCGCGTCTCGTTGACGTAGAAAAATATTATATTCGGCAAAAGTACACGAATATCAGAATTTTTCATGAGTTTATTGAAACGAATAAAAATTAAACGATCAATAAATTAATGTAGTTAATAATTAAATATGAAAGAGCTTTTCAAAAGCCACGAAATGATACGTAACACTTGCATATAAAGCAATTTTAATGAATTCCAAAAATGGCACAAACTGAAGCAACGTAAAAAACGCACGAATTTTTGGTTAACTCTAATAAATATTAAACCTGCTGACATCTATTATAATTGTTTCACTGCTTGTTTCATCATTCAACACGTGATGCTGAATTCAATGATATATGAAAGAATTGTATATAATTTATATATTGTATATGAGAACTATACGCAAAAGAGACGGTCATTTGACCCGTAGTGGTAGGTTTAGTGTTAAGATAACCTGTGTAAGATTTGAGAAGAAGTCTTACATTTTTATTTGCTTTTCGTGTATCTTGCTCTGTGTATCCTGCTCTTCTGAGCGATCCTGCTCTCCTCCTCTTCTTTTCTTTCTTTTGCGTAACTCAGCTTGAAACTATCATTTTCAGCACTCCCCGAGCGAGGTCCAGAGATCACTGGCCTATCATCCTCGCATTATGCCGTCGGGGAAGACGTGACGGCGAACTGTACCGTATGGCCGTCCGTGCCTAAGGCTGCTCTTCGTTGGGTCATCAACGGTAAACCGGTAAAATCGCGGGACAACCCCTTTCCGGTTTCGTCGCCTCGCCGCATCGACTCCCATTCTCTATACCTCCGTTCCCGTTTCCCTTTTCATTTCGTTCTTTCCTCCAAATTTAGCTCGACAACTCGCTGACCTCATGGGAGTCACCTGGACGTAACAGTACGCGCACTGGCGATATATTTCGTGAAATTCCTACTCGTTATATTCCGGATGAAATCCCACGATCCCATACACTTTCGCGTAAATAAACCGTGGACAGGGCTGTGTACGTCGAGACACGAAAGATATATATTTTATTCTCCAGATCTTTCATTATTTATTTCGTATAAATCAAAGTCGCACGCCCTCTGCATATTTCACCAATTAAACAACGAGAAAGTCGATATTCGAGCGAACGCCGTCCCTTCGTACCGGTCCAGAAAGTAGAAACGCGAATTTGCGGGATTCCAATCACCGGGACCCTGCGCTGGTTGTCTTCGCGAAGTTGTCGAGCCACGCATACATCCCCTAGTTGCACGCAGTTCCGTCACACATGAACGATCGTATTAACGTGCTCGTTTCCGTCCCAGATTGCGAGCGAGAAGACGATCCAATACCCGGAACGTGGAAACTCAAGCCTCGCGGCAACACCCACCAGCCTCGGGCTACGCGTGGAACTCGAACCGGGGTACTTGGGGGACGTCAACGGGGCTACGACGGTCCTCGTCAAATGCATAGCACAGATCGGCTCGAACGCCCTCGAAACCGAGAAATCTGTACCGATAGCGCGCGTTAACAACCAACGATTGAGCGCTGGGGACACACGCAGCAGAGGACACGGGACGCATCGGCCATCCACCGATCGTTTCTGGCTTCTTTCGCTTCTGATCCTGACGATACTCGCGACGTGACACGCACACGAGCACGAGCATGTGTTGCGGAACGTTTCCCTCCGAGGAACTTTCTCGTAACCAGCGACGGGTGTTCAAGACTGAATTTTCGATTCCCTTTGAATGTCATCCGACGCCAGAAGGGACTATCGAAGAGCTCGATGGGTCTTGAAACTCTCGACGAGCATTCTCGTTGAATTCACTGATTCGTGCAGCTGCGAATTATTTATCGATCCTTAGAAGATCGACGAAGAGATTCGATAGGTGTTTAAATTAATTCTGTGCCTCTATATTAGGACTTAGGTTACGTTACGTATAGATTCGTTACGATAGAGACCAGATCGAGAAAGTTGGTACATACAAACACAGCGACGATTAAATATTTCTACTTAAACTAAAGTTATAAATTATTGAACGTGAAAGCACGGAATACATTTCCACGCCTAATACGTTCAAGATTTAACGACTCAAGAAGATTTAAATAGGGACGCGTTGAACGCATTACGAAGATCGGGGACTTAGCGTTCACGAATCCGTGAATTTATGTATTTATACAGAATGTTTGAACTTCGTTAGTAGTTTTAAGACCCGACGGGGCTTCGCGACCGATTAAAAGTTTCAGGATCGATTAAAAGTTTCAAGACCGACCGAGACTCTTTAGTTATTCTGGTATCGAATAACATCGGAGGCGAATCGAGTTTGTCGTCGGATTCGTAGCGATTCCGATCGATTCGAACCGATCTTGAACCGATCTTGAACCGATCTTGAACCCTCCACCACTCGGAGCGGAGTTAGGCGTTACACGCGGTAATCGCGTTCCGATATCCGTCTGATTACCAGTCCGTAAGAGTCCACCAACTTCACGTGCACACGTGACGTTCCGAACGTGCACATCTCAACAACTAGAATTTACTCACGGCGAAAGGAAAAATTATGCACGATTCGAGCACGATGTTTTCATATGGTGACTCGCGATAGCTTCGGAGATTCAAGGAAGATTATTTCATAAATACTATACACGACTAAACAAACAACGATTTCTTTTTTCAGAGATAATGTGAAATTCATGCAGTCGCGAACGAGCAACGCGCGTATTTAATATCGAAGCGTGATTCGATGCTTCCGCGCTGTTCTCCGCGATGATTTTCACGCCTGCACACGACACGTGTGCACGTGGTTTTCGGCACGAGTAGAGAATCGTAGGCTCTAGTCCATAAGTATGCGATTTCGAATAGTTTATCGAGTTTACCGAGCAAACGGGCAAACGGAAAAGCTCCCAGCCGAGCGAACACGCTTTTCCACGGAACGGGAAGATAATGGCGTTTTTTCGATTCCTAATCGTCACTCGTAGGATCACTCGTCTCGATGCTGACTCGTTTGACCGTGCACGCTGTGATATTAATGATAAGACGTGTGGAGGTATAGTAGTCGTGTGTGTCAACGTCCTCATTCGATAAGACGTGTCTTAAGTTTCTCCTAGATACTCTAACGACGATATATAACTTGGAAAGTCGACGTACTCGTCCGAATTGCAACTTTGTGGAGATCGAAAGTCGTTAGACAAAGTTCCCAAGGCTTTCCAAGCTCTGACTTATTCCCAGTGACTACGATCATTGCCATAGTCTTCTTAGTTTGAGTATACGTAACGGAGGTTCCGTCGAGAAACAATTCAAGGGGTTATATACGGGTAGATTTTTGGAAATTTTTTTAGTTATCAGCGTTAAGCGAGGATATTATCAACGAATTTGTGTCACTTTATTCTTAGCCCTTCCTATTAGGTCTCCCGTTAACTTTTCACTTCGCTCAACACACTTCCTTCCGTCTTTGAACAGTCGGAGAGGATTCCCATTAGGAATATCGAATAAATAAATTTGATTAGGTCTCCTGAAAGTATCGTTCAAGCGGAGCAACGAGTAACTTTGAAAGTTTTCCATTTCCGTTCCTTAAACAATAATATCTTTTAATTAAGAAAGAAATCAAATTATCGTCCAAGTAATCGCTATACCGATGGGAAATCTCACTTGAGACGCGTTGCTCTCGCGAATAACGCGCGGAGATAATTGGAAAGATAACGATTTCCGATCCATAGAATAGGAAATTAGTATACATATGCACTTATGTACGACACGTATACGCGCACTTTAACCATTTCTCTCATCGTGTCGTGGGGCAGGAGAAAAACGGATGCAGGAAGCAATAAACGAAAGGGGCAGAGCAGAATACGCGACAAGGGATCTGGTGGTAGAATAGAAAAGATTTGTCTGGGATTTATAGCGTTCTATCTATTATACATGTGTAAGATAATCGTTCGACTCGAAGTTTAGCGACGCTCGAAGCGTCACGATTTTTTCACGTTACCCGTGATCTTTGATCGCGATTTCATTCTCGGTTGCAATCGTTCGCGCGCAACGTTTGTGTATCTTCCACGATTTATGACGGTTGCGCGAACGAGCGTAACTTCGGATACGTTCGAAAGTAAGCTGGCAGAAATGTTATGACTCGGAGAGCAACATCTGACGTTCGTTGACGTCGTATAGAAAATTCGCGCGTGAACGTCTTCGACCTAATCACCCTCTGATGCAAACAGAATTACTTTACGTATCGACAAATCAAATTTACAGCGAGATTAGCGTGGTTTACGAGGTTTTCCATGGCCATCTTTGTTCCGGAAGAAATCGAAACTTTGGTATTATTACTCAAACAACGGTTTGGTAACAGAAATATTATAGTTTGGAAGTATATCCAATCGCGTCTCAAGTTTGACTTGTTCATATATATGTCGGAGTGCCTAATACTTTCGAACGCAACTCTATATACTTTTAATGCTTGCAGAGCAATTCGATTACTGGTTGGCGAAATTCCAAAGCCGAGTTTGTCAAAGCTTCCGGTACTCGGAGAGCAAAGAAGCCCCGAGAGACTTTGGTCGCGTCTACGCAAGAAATCCACTTATCGATACGTTTATATGTACACAGGCGCGCAAATACACGTTGCCTTTCAGTATCACAGAATAAACGATAAATTCGACATTTTTTCGACTTCGTTTATCATTAATTTACCAGTTTCAGCAATTATTCTTAATGCTGTCTCCTCGAGCGCTCGGCTTATCGAACCAATGTTATTTTTTTTTTCTCTAGTGCACATCTTTGAATTGCGAAACTAAATTATGATTCACGCTCAACGAATAAAGACTTATCAGATTGTTTCCTCGATTGATCGACCGTTTCGATACGATCTTTTTATTCGTCTACTGTTGGAACGAAACCTTGCTCAATCGTGGTATTTGTACAATTTGATTTACGCAAAAATCTCGGGAAAGGTTTAATCTCTTAAGTCGTGGATTAATTATGTAGAAATACAATGAAATTGATTGTTTCGCGCGACACAAGGAAAAGATATATTCGAAGAGAAATTGCGTATATCTATGCAAGATTTTTATCTGTCGGGTGTAGAAATTAATTCTGTGCTATTGCAAGGTAAACTTATCATTTAATTAGAAAGATAAACAAGAAGGCACAGAATTAATTTCTACACCTAATACATACGAATTAACAGGTGAAAAGTATGCAATCCAAAACTGGCGTATTTCACCGCGAATAAAGATTCGACGAATAAATCGTGACGCGTTTCTTTTTTTATTTGTCCGTAAAATTTTGCCCTTCTCCGAACCGCCATTTATCACCGATCTTCGATAAAATACCGACCAAGCGAGTGACGTTGGAACACAGACAAGGTATACCTGTAACAGCTCGCGATGCTCGATCCTATCATGTATCACGTCCGTGGTCACGTGCAATAATATGTCATTGCAGTACTCTCTACCTTATCAGTCATCGGTAAAAGTTAATCGTTCGTAAATATTACGAAAATAACTGAAATAAGAGGCTACTTTTAGTATCGTGCTGGAAAATTTACCGCTCGTGTTCGCGATTCGTTGTATCAATTGTGACGGAGATCAATACCATTCTTTTATTTGGATTCAGTCTCTATTTTCAGATAGGAGAGGTCAGCTGTCATCTATACGCATAGACAAGAGGTCACGCATCTAATCATTTTGTAATTCATATCAGCTTTTCTATTACATATCCTCCGTTTGAGCTCGCAGGGCCAAATTTACCTGGTTTCGACCAACTCGAAAGGAGAAAACTCGAAACGAGAAAAAACTCGAAATTTTTCACGCAGATCTATGGATCATCGAGCTTGCAGGATGCGATTACTGAGCTGGTCATCTTCGAAGACGTTGTTCCTATTATTATCAGACCGCGATCACGGTCTTGCGTTAGCGCGACTGGATCGTTAAGAGCGATCACGCAGCAGGCGTAAGAACTATAGAAATTAGCTTGCCGCGGAAACAATAAGAAAAAGCAAACGTAATAAGGCTGCACGTGCCCGAGGCATGGAGTGGCAGCCAGCGTAAAGCAAGCACGAGTGTCGATATCTCGAGCCAATCGCGAAGCGTTCCCGTGCCTCACCTCTCGAGGCTCGAAGTTGGAGGTGGGCACGATTCTTGTCGAGATAAAAATTTCTCATCGCGATAGAAAACATTTTCTATCTCTTATTTGTTAAATGAAATTTTTAATTGTGCAACGAGGTACATCTGGAACTGTTCTCTGGACGAGACGAGTTGAATTAGTATAACGTATTCCCATTCGTCGTTCGCTACTCGACAAAAATTTTACCGACCTTTAACCCAAACTTGAGGCTCGACGCCCGTCCGAGCGCGCGATTGGTCGACGAGTTTCCTCCTCTGTGGGCAATGCTTCAAGTACAGCTGCTAATTAGACACAACTGTGATAATTTTATTGAAACTAAATTTCATCTAGAAAAAATGAATTTATGCATTCTCCTCGGCTCTCAGGCGAAATACAATTGATTCGCGAGTTAATTTAACAGCATCGAGTAATTTTAGACAGAAGCGATTGCTTAACATGTTCAATAATATTCTCACAAAGGAAACAGATATCGAGGAAGTATCGCGAGTGGAATGCACTTATTCCTTATCGTCTATGCATTGCGCAGTACCTTGAATCTATTTCCGTATGATATTAAGTTATGCGTTTCGTTCGATTAATTTACCTAAATCGAAGCACTTCGCGTTCGCGTGTTGATCGAACAGTGATATGCTCGTGGGGAATTACCAGCGAACGCGTCTATAGCACGATCGCGACACGTTTAATCGGTGTAACGAACATCTCTGGAACGAATGCGCAATAAAAACAACTTAAGGAACACTGCGCGTCGCGACCTCGATTTCCGTCGCGGACGAGAGGCTGTCCCTCGAATGAAAAAGGAATCTCTCCGGCTGCCGATCGTTGGACATCCGAAATCGCCATTTTTCAAAAACTTCCCGACGCTTCTCCGTCCCATTTCGTGATCATTAATTATTATTCGCCATTCAACGGAGGAAACGACGGGAGGCTCATCCATATTCTTGAAAATTAGACGGTGGAAAATGATTTTTTTTTTATTTTTTCGAAAGATTCCAAATGAAATGCGAAAGGTGGCGATGTCTGATACGGTCGACCACCTGATGCGGTCTTCATTAATAATTTAGGACGTTGCTTTAGGTACATTCACACCGGATGTTGTGGTTCTTGAATACCAGACCCTGGAGAGCTAATAGAATCAACCGCGATGGAATATGTCGGACTGTGTAGTGTTCATCGAACTCCTGGAGTGGAGTTAATTCAAAATTCATATTTTTTTATGTGCCTGACTTCAAAGTTACAGCAGGGGAAACCTTTCAGAGATCTCGTTACCATATATAGCGCTTCGAAGAAGCAAATTGCCCGAGGAAACGTCGATTGTATGCCATGGCAATCCACCTGTCGACCAAATCCTCCATCGGAACGCTAATCATAGTTCGACGACTGCAGAAACGGGCGAATCCTTGAGGAGGAAGCTTTCGCGAATGGGTAGTAAAGGTGGGAGTATACAAACCACTTTTTTGAAATGCCACCAAAAAATGATGTGAACTGATTCCTCAGCTCGGTGAGAGATTTACTTATCGCAGCGAATAATTCCCCAAGGCGCGGACTTCCGGGGGTACATCCCAGGAGGCTCGGCTGAAAGTCCTGTAAAAATCGACCGTCGGGTTACGCACTGTAACATTCATACGACAGACGGATGTCGAGTAGGGTTGTTAACCGTACCCTCCTTTGAGGGCACATGTTCGTACTTCAGGTTAAAACAACTTTACTTTTCACTCATCGAACCTGTGCGTGATCTTTTTGAAATGATAATGGTCTAAAAAAAAAAAATTAATATTTAACACTGTAACTCCCGGGAACAGTTCATATCTGGCATGAAAAGTTACCGAGTAATATTAAAGTTCGACATAGGTTTGGTGGTTTCAGTGTTAACTCTCGATATCCACCTCATTCCGAGCAGCAGGTCTCCCTTATATAGAAGGTACGATCCCCCGTGCTAATTGAAATTAAAAATTCCCAAACTATTCGCATGCTGCGCATGTCCGCTCCAGGTGACGAGAAAATCCGAA